TCCGATCTATAATATTCATCTATATATATAACAATTATATCGCTTTTCATATCCCCGTAAGTTACTCTAAGGTTTTGAGCAACCTGAGACTTCGAACTAGGTAACACATTCATATAATTACATTAAACTAAAAAAATTATATAAACTTATAAACAATATATTTCAAATATTTTTTCAAAAAAAATTGTTGATCTCTTTCGATATTTGTTTTTATCATTGTAAATAAACATAAATAAGTGTTAGGATACAAACAAGTCTCACATTGATAAAATAAGATAAGAAATAACAACTTATATAGCATAAACAGATTTCAATGATTGAGAGGCTTTTTGGGTGATGACTAAAAACAAAACCGTGAGGGCTTAGGCCCAAAGGAGACAACATCTCATCATTGTGAAGTGTGTTTGTGTAATAACTTTATAAAAATAACACCTTCATTAAATATCTCCCTCAGACAAATACTATAAAAATAACCCCAACAGAACTTGCGGCTTCCGAGAGATCTAAAGCTTCTAGGAATGCCTCCATTTGTAAAAAGTTTGTTTCTGCTTCCATCTCCAAGTTTGGACTTTAGAGATATTAGTTTTGTTGCGTTCTTTGAAGAGTTCTTGATCATAAGTTGTAACACCCAATTTATATATATATATATATATATATATATATATAGAAATTAACTATAAATGTCACTTCTGTAGTCAATTTTTTTTTTGGTACTTTACCCGCACATCTGTGTGGCCTATTTCTCCTCAATATGTCATGTTACTACCTTCATCTAAAGTTTCTGGTACAAAAATTAAGAATGTAGTTAATATTTTAAATTTATATAATATATCATTTAAGGATATAATCGAAAAACTATTTAATACATTATTAATATTTTTAAATAACAATATCAAATTGGGTCAATTTGTTTTTACTAAAATGTTAGACAAAATGGGACCAAGAGAGATTCTCCGTCTTATTGAGAAGCAAGATAAAAAGGCAAGATGATAGAATTGCTACTTTATCTTGGTAAATTAAAGTTCTTGGGACACTTAAATTATATTACCTTCCTCTGTAGTTTGAAAATTACATGTTCTTTCTCTAAAAGATGAAAATGTGTACACTTAATTTTGTTTTAATGAAAGTTAATCTATAATGGTGAGTGTTGAGCAACTTTGAATGGGCTTCATAGGGCATTTTCTTTTCTTTAGACTGCCAATGTTATCAATGTACAACTAATTTTGAATATCATAATATATATATATATATATATATTATATTAAATTTTCATGTTACAACAAATTTTGAATTATAATTGTAGTGACTAGTCATGATAAATGAGCATCATCATAATATCAACCAACAAAAGGATATTTCACCTTAACCAACAAGAGGATATTTCACCTTCATTCCTTACTCATTTAAATCCCCAAGGTCAAACCTCCAGCTACAAATAATTCAAACTTTATCTTCTATGACCATAAAATAATATTTATCTTCATAAATACATGAAGAAATACCAACAAGAAGAGTCAAAGATATGAAAACTATATTATAGTTGATGATAAAATATATTTTACAATAAATATATTTACATAAAAAGAATATATTAAAAGTACCAGTCATGTAAAAATGACAATCATTATAAAATAATTAAACAATATAAATTATGAACACCTTAATAATTATTATGGATAAAAATAATTATAGATTAAGCAAATAAATGAGGTTAGGGATACCTCACTAAATAAATATACATAAAATATAACATAAATAAATAAACATAGTAGTATATAAAATTTTAAAGAGATAAAGTTCTCCTCCCCCTTACTTCAGAACATCGACTTATCTGAGAAAAATCTTCAAGATCCTTTTCCTACTCACTTTTTGTCTCTTCCCTCTTTCTTTCTCTTTTTTTTTTTCTCTCTCTTTCTCTTTCTCTCTCTAAGTTT